CCCCCCCCCCACCTTCACACTAGTGTATGGTTTTAAACCATTCTGCCTGCGGAAAAATCTATAAGGATTCCTCAAATTGATCCCATCCAAAAAAGGGATGGTGTGAAGAATGTAGCTGGAAAACAATGCTTGGTTTCCCCACAAACATGGTGGAACTGCATTGTCCTCTCCACTCCTCAAGCATTGTTTACAGTCAAGCTGGCCTTCCAGAGCCTCTTTCAGGCTTCTATCAGACCCTGTATGGGAAAGGAACAGCAGAGAAGATATTAAACCTCTGGCTGTGTTGCTGTTTCAGCTCAAGTTCCTGGTGCCCTGGTCTGCCCAGTTATTGACCCGAGTACTTTTTGCAGGATTTAATGTGAGGAACCAGAACTGTAGATTCTACTGAGCCCCTCTTCTCTTAGTACGCACAATCTGTGTTTTTCTCTATGCAGGGAATCTAGAGGAGAATAATCTGAGCTAATCTGTGTAGTTGCAAGAATGATTTTAGCACATACTTCAAAAGACATATGTAAACAATGAGGACCTGCTCAGTTCAGTTTGTACTTCTGTTTGTATATTGACTGTTGGTCACACCAATATAATTAGGGCCCTACTAAATTAATCATCCATTTTGGTCAATTTTACCATCATAGCACTTTTAAAATTGTAAATTTCATGATTTCAGCTATTTAAAGCTGAAATTTCATTGTGTAATTGTAGGGATCCTCCCCCAAAGTAGGGATCCTCACCCAAAAAGGAGTTGGGGTGTGGGGCAGTGTTGTGATACTGCTACCTATACTGTGCTGCTGCTGGTAGCAGCACTGCCTTTAGAGATTGGCACCTGGAAAGCAGTGTCTCCTATCTGGGAGTCCACCTCTGACTGCAGACCTACTGTAAGCAGCAGGCATTGCCACTCTTATTTCTGTGTTGCTGCTGATGGGGTGCTGTCTTCAGAGCTGGTTGCCTGATCAGCAGCCACCACTGTCTGTCTGCTCATTTATGAAGGCAATACTGAATTAATGGTGACAATACTGCATCCCCTTGAAGATAATATTGTGGCCCCTCCCCAACTCCCTTTTGGTTAAGGAATCCCAATTTGAGAATTGCTGTTCTTACCTGTGAAATCTGTATAATATAGGGTAAAAGCACGTACAAGTTCAGATTCAATGGCCCATGATGAGTTTTCATGCTTGTGTATACGGTAGGGCCTTAAATATAATTTTAGGGCTTTTCTACATTTGAAAGTTAGTGTGGATGAAGGTATGGTTTGAATTTAAAGTTCAATAACTGTTCTTGATTAACTCTGTGTGGACATTTTTATTCCAAAACAAGAATTCCTAACAGTTAAGAGATTTTATGAAGAATTTTTTGTAGTTATATTTCCCTAGCCCTTTGTGCTATGGAAATAAACTTTAAAAAAAATTAAATATTTTTTAAGGTGCCTGCTATAATGTATTTTAAAATACAGCATGGTAAGTCTCTTATATCCATTTGTTTCTGTAATAGTGTCATTTTATAAGTTGCAAAAATATCTTCTGTGTTTGTTCAGCCTTTTCTGTACTTTTAAACTGGTTATAAAAATTATTGCTGCTTGCTGCCTCGTGTATTGTTCTTCAAAAGATTTGTCCACAACTATTAATGGGTAATCATATTCTTTGCTTCAAAAGTTTTTTGTTTTACAAAATACTACTTGAGCCATTTTTAGGAAAAACTAATCAGTGTAGCTGGATACCTCAAATAAGCAGACAATTGATGACGTGAAAATATACATAGTTACGTGTATTTCTTAATTGACATCTCCTTCCTCTCTTTGCTTTAAATCAACATTCAATGCTGTCTGTAAAGGTTTGTTTTTTTGGGGGGAGGGAGAGGTCATGTCGGTAAAGGGGAATGAATAGTTCCTTCGATAATAAACTGACATAACTAGCTTTTGTGTTTGTTTTTGTTTAGCACACATCTGATATATCAAGCAAGACTCCTTGCAGTTGCCCCTCATCAGAAAGGGAAAGTTCAAGAAGAACCTGTTCCAGGTATTCAGAATAAGCAAGTACGAAATTTTGACTGGGCCCTGAATAGACTGGATACCTCTGTCAGAAGAACTGGCCGCATTACTAAAACCCTTCTACTAAGAATCTTCCATGACATGTGCAGAACAGGTAAAGTTGCTTTTCATTGTATTCCAAGTTGACATTTCCTTTTAAAGTTTTTGTCAAACCAAAAGAACATAAATGAAACTGATTTGTTCACTATTTTTGTTTTATGCATATTACTAAACCTACTATGTACCTTAAATGCTTATAGGCAGTTGCAGTAGTTTAGCGTTATCAATCTGTATGTAAGTGATCAGTAACCATACTAACACAACTGATCTTCACCCTTCCACTATTATTGTAGGGAACAATTGAAGAAAAATGTGGTGTTCAGGCATGCTTTTATAATTTCCTAATGAATTGCCTGTACTATTTTATGTACATACATGCTCCATCACTTGTGGTTATCTTTCTCCAGTACAATGGTGACTGAGTTTTAGAGCTGGAGGATCTTTAGAGGTAGGTCTTGTCTCAAGTTCTCTCCCCAAACTGTACACCAGTGTACAAAGCAAGCACAGTATTCATATTTAGATGATACTTCAGTTATCTTGGTAATGAGATAATTAATACTGTCCAAAGATATATTTATTATCTCAGGATGTATTGGCTGTTCAGGTTAGTAGGAAGTCAGCACATTCCAAAGCATCTTGCTAATATTCTCCAACCATGTCTCAACTCTTGTCCATAAGATTTTTCTCCATCAGCAGCAGAAAGTGATACAATGAAGTGGCAGTGTTTGGGGATGTTTGGATGGAAGAATTCAGGGCAGTTCAGGCCTTGTGTACCTTATATTAATGAAATTACCAAATGGTTGACTTTGTAACTGTGCAGCATCCCTGCATTCTGGTGTAAATCATTATTTTTCAGTGTAATTATGAAATACTGTCACCTAATTTTTTCCTAGATGTTCTGTTTAACAAAAAGTGAAAGTGTGAAAAAGTTGCATGTGTTTGTTTCAAAAGGACACTGTCATGATTTTTAGGATCTAGATGTAATTTATTATAGCTTTAAAGATTTAGTTGTACATATTTTTGACTTAAATTTAACATTTACACCTAAATCTTCTCTTTCCAATTCATAAAAATAGGAGAATTTAGTATGGCAGAGTCATTTGGATTTATAATCAGTGTGTAAGAATAGATATTTGTCAGCATCTTCACTTTATGCAGCCTTAAACTTCAGACAGCTTACTTTATGAACAAAAATTGGAAATTAACAGTCATTTCAACAATAACAAAGCAATAAAGTACTGAGTTTGTTGTTGCTCAGTTTGTTAATATTATAGATTCCTCCCTTTAAAGCGAGGGAGGGAAACCTAAGGCCGGGGGGGCCGAATACTGGGATCCGGCTGCCAAGGCTCGGGGCTTCCCCCAGCATCGTGGAGCCCATGCTAGTGTCTAGTTTTCATGCTGCCCCACCTCGGGACTAAAGCTCACAAAATCTACTAGATTGGGCCCCCTATGCTCTGAGGGGTGAGGGGTGTTGTCTTTCTCCTCGGTTGGTGTTTTTTTTTTGGTTTGTTTTGTTTTACTTCTCATTTGTATGTGGCCCCTGATTGATTTTCTATGGGTCAGTGGCCCTGATGCAAAAAAAATTCCCCACCCTTGCTTTATAGTGAATTAAATGCTGGAGCAAGATACTAGATTATCACAGCTTAAAGAAATATGAAAAAAATTAGAGGCAGTTGCATTTTGAGGTTCTCCATGCTGCTTTGTGTCTACGCCTCAACTCTGACTTGAAGTGATCACTTTTAGAAGTTGGCAGATAATTGTCTCCACATTCTCATTCCATTCTTGACCACTTTTGTGAGAATGCAAACATGAATGCCAGCTGCCATAGTGGGCATTCCATGATGTAGTAGATACTTGTTTGCTAGGAAAAGTATTGAAACCAATACAAGCTTCAAAAGCCATGATAGAGGAAAAATTTATGTTTTAAAGTTTTGAAACATTATTAGAATATTGGCCAAGGTTTTCAAAAGTCTAAAAGTCCATATTTAGGAGTCTAAATTGGATTTAGGAGCCAAACTTTAAGCATCTGATTTTGAAATAATGCCCATTGTGTTTGAAAAATTGGTATATGTAAAACCATTTTTGTAGTGTCTTTTTTTTATATTGATAGATCAAGGGGCAATGGAACAGTGACATGTTCTCATTCTTCTGTTTCATTTTTCCCTTATAGACTCCTGCATATGACTTTAACTCATGTTGCATAGTATTTTTCGTATATTTATTTTTTGCAGTGAATATTTTTGTTTGACTTACAACAGGTCCATAAGTGTAACATTGTTTCTTTGCAGGGTATCCAGGTAGTAACCAGGCCTTGCTCCTGTTGCGAAGTTGTGGTTCTTTGTTGCCTGAGGTCCCATTATTTGAAAGAACAGAATTAGCCCACATGATATGGAGCAAGTTGCAAGAATTGGGTATGTCTATTCATATCTGCTTTGATAAATATTGAAATGTTACATTTTACTGAAGGATTTTTTTTCTTTAAACACTGGCAGATATAACCTTATATTTGTACCAAGGTTTTTTTGAGGCTAGAAACCTGTTTGGCATTCTGAGAGTTATACTGACATCTAGAGGTGCTAACAGTAAACCTGAGGATTTTTTCTATTGCTCATATAGTTTCTTTTGTTTGTTGTTGTCACAGATTCTAGTCTTTTAATATTGTTAATACTGAATCTTGCATTGATGAATTATTAGTTTTTAATTATTTACCTCAACAGCAGGCAGTACCAGTCTTCTAGTGTTAAAAAATACATGTAGTCAAACTGCTATTTTAGAAGAGAGTCTATCTGACAACCATTACAAGGACAATTTGGTATCCATTAATGTCCATCTTCTGCAGCAAATTTGTGATACTATATTCTTAAGAGATGCTATTGGATAAGAGTTGAAGGGAAGCCATATCACTTTTCAAAATTTAGCAGTTCTTATATATATAATATGCAGAATAACACACAGGATAGCATTGATGCTTCTGTACTCTGGGCAGTAAACCTTTTAATTATATGTAAATGCACACTTTAGAGAGTTACTCCATCCTGTTAAACATTTGTGACCAAACACCACAGACATGGGTGAAATTAATTTATTTGTTCATAGCTTGTCTTTTGCATAATAAAATTGATACATTAAAAATTACTCAGATTTCTTTATAAAACACTTAAAGATATTTAACTTTGAACTGAAAACAAGCTGCTTTATTTTAATCACTTGGTAACATCTTTTTTAGGTGCTGTGTATGATGCAAGTCATTATAATGCTTTGCTTAAAGTCTACCTTCAAAATGAACATAAATTCTCTCCAACTGAATTCTTGTCCCAAATGGAGAAAGCTAAAGTGCAGCCCAATCGAGTACGTACTACTTGATGGAATCCTTTTTCCTTCTAATGCCATCATTGCATAAATTCAGACTCTTAATTTTTTTCCCCACAGGTTACATACCAAAGATTGATTGCTGCTTACTGCAATGAAGGAGATATTGAAGGTGCCAGGTATTTGCACTTAAACATTTTTTTTCTTGCAAATTATTGACTGACATATGCTTCTCGCCCCCATTAATATAAAATCTACTTCAAGTTTATTAAATTTTGGAGCAGAGAGGAGCCAAGTTAGGTGATGGTCTAGTTTTGTGAGTTTTCAAGTGTTGCCTTCTCACTGGTATAGAAGTAGCAGATTTTCTTGTCAGTTCCATGGTCACTGACTACATAAGATTATGAAGGAAAAGGTGTTATGCAGGAAAAGTGCAGCGCCATCGTGGAAGGAATATATGTATATTTTTTCTTCCCTGTGTAGAGCTTGTTGTTGGCTGATCAGTGTATTGTGAGTTGTGGGTTTTGTGTGTGTGTGTGTGTGTGTTTGTTTTTGTTTGATTCCAGAAGGAATTGCCTTTGGTCATTTGTGACAATGTGATTGTTGGGCACAAAAGGCATATACAAATTTGGGAGTGTGAGGAAACTGATAAAACTCATAAGTGATGTTAAACAGAGTTTTGTTTGTCTTTTAAATTACTAAGATACAACATTGGAGACAAAGATGGGTGAGTTAATGTCTTTTATTGGACCAACGTTTGTTGGTAAGAGAGACAGACATCTGAGCTACACAGAGCTTTTTCACCAAGTGAATATGGTTTGTTAAAAGATATTACCTAACCCACCTTGTTCCCTTAATATTCTGGGACCCACAGGGTACAACAACATTTCAAACAATGCAAGATAGAACATTTCAGGAGTAACAAAATTACTTAAATTATTATTGTGTGCCACATCCCAAAATGTGATCACTCAAACATACCTTTCTGTGTTGTGCCTGATGATCTAGTTCTTAGTGTGCAATATAACAGTAGTTTTTCCAGTTTCTATACAAGGAAAACAACTGTAATTATCATTTTGTATCTTGCAGTAAGATTCTTGGCTTTATGAAGGTGAAAGAACTCCCAATCACTGAGGCAGTATTCAGTAGCCTTGTGACAGGCCATGCAAGAACTGGGTAACAATATATCGGTGGTATTTTGTTATTTTTAAACCTTCATCTACTCATTTTGTACATTGGTAGCTGATTGCACAGCATAAATCACACTCATGTGCTTCAAAATGGGGGACAACAACAATCATTGTGCATTAGTGCATATAAAGACTTTTTCCAGAATGAATATATTCTGATAATATGGAACACTAGGCATATGAAAGGAAGCCTATTTATCAGTATCTCCAGTAAGTTTAATTTTAAGTTATTGGAATGAGAAATAGTTGGCAGAACTTTGAAAACTGACCTCTTACATCTAGATTTTACCATGTGCTTCATCTAAAAATATTGAAAAAACCTCCACAATTTTGGTTAACATTATATTGATTGATAGTAATTAAAGCCATTAATCTTATTTTAAACATTTGCAGAGATATGGAGAATGCAGCAAATATCCTTTCAGTGATGAGGGATGCAGGAATTGAGCCTGGTCCAGACACCTACCTAGCATTACTAAATGCATATGCTGAGAAGGGTGACATTGACAACATTAAACAGGTATTAACATATCATGCATAGTAAAGCTTTCCCTAGAACTGTTTGTTTAAAAAGAAGTACATAATATTTGATTTTATTTAATACTGTTTTCTCACACACACAAATACACTAGTTGGACTCTCTCAAATAATTTCCTATTGGTCAGCTTTATTTAAGGAGAATTTTTTTTCATCTGAATAAATGTGTATTTAATTGAAATGCATTATACATTTTGTAAAACTGTATTTTATCTTTTGATAGGTGCCTTTCATTATATGTGTAGAAATGGTGAATAATGCTTGTTGATTCAGTCTCATAAATGTAACCTTTTGAAAAGAAGATGAAAAGAGTATTGGAAAGTATTTTATTTTCATCAGTAGAAAGAGAACTTATTTAGGACTGGATCTTATTCCAATTGAAGTCAATGAGTTTTTGCTACTAAGATCTAATTTTTGTAAGAGTGTCAAACCTCTGACCATCTGGAGCCCTCCTGATTTCAGTGGAATCCACATCCTAGTGCAGAGGTCTATCCACATGGAGCTCCTTTGTATAACTGGGGTCACTGTTATCCACTTATGTCATAATGTCAATAAATAGATAATGCTTCCTTGTGTAGGAGAAGAGGAGTAAGGACACTTAGGCTTAGTTTACACTGCCAGTTTTTTCAGCAGAAAATATGCTAATGAGGGACTTGATAGCATAAGTCATGATCTTATTAGTATATTTTCTGCCTTTTGTTTTTGCATAAAAAGAAGCAGTGTGGATGTGGGTTTTTTGCGCAAAAATCCTGTTTTGCGCAAGATGCTTATGCCTGTCCTGGAAAGGCATAAGGATCTTGCGCATAACAGGGGTTTTGTGCAAAAAAAAAAAAAAAAATCAGTCCACCTTGCTTGTTTTTGCTCAAAAACCCCTTGCGCAGAGAAACAGAAGAAAATATAGTAATGAGATAATGACTTATGAGTCCCTCATTTGCCAGTGTGTGTTTTTTGCAGAAAATATTCTGTGTAGATGTAGCCTCCATGTAAGGCTAAGAATTTGGTATTGGAGAAAACCTTGGGGGACTTAGTTAAACCACAAAAACAAAACTCTCTGCACCTCCCATGTCTCAAATAAATGAACAAAACAAATGGAGTTAATAAGATACATGTGTCATCACTTTGACCACTTAGGGCCAGATTTCTGCAGTCCTTTTGTCAGTAGTATTTTATATCACAAGTTTGAAACCAATGGCAGTGTTTCCACCCAGTAATATCTTTAGTGAAGGAGGGTTTGAGACTCTGATCATAGTATATTGTGTGCTTGCTCTTTCCTTCTTTTCCCCGCTTCCCAGCCATCTCTCTCTTTGGAAATTAACCTCTGTGAAGCAGAAACTTGCATCTGTGCTTATGTTTGGGAAATATGTAGCAAATTGGAGTTTTACTTCAGCGTAAATAGTTTTTGGGGTTTATAATGTGCTGTGTTTGAGACAGAGAGTAGACTTTTCATTAGCATTACGTTTATTCTTTGTTTTTTGTTTTTTTTACTTCCAGATCCTGGAAAAGGTTGAGAAGATGGAAGGCTGTTTTATGGACAGGGATTTGATGCAAGTTATTTTTAGCCTTGCTAAGGCTGGATATTCTCAGTATATTCAAGATATTCTGTCACAGATGAGATATGAAAGAGGATATATTCCAGGTATACTGGTACTTTCTTTCATGTGTCCAAAATTGCTTTACGTAGTTGAGCTTTGAAATAGCACTGTTACTCGAGATTAAGAAGGAATAAATGCATTTTCAGTTGGCTGCTATAAAAGAAAAAGATGTCACTTAGGGCGCATCTACATAGCAGGGCTTAACTTGAAATAAGCTACACAAATTGAGCTATGTGAATTATGTAGCTTATTTCAGGATTTGGTGCTGTCTACATAGCACTTATTTTGAAATAGAGCACTTTTCCTCTGACTTCCCTCACTCTTCATAAAATTACGGTTACAGGAGTTGGAGTAAGAAGTCCTCCAGCTTTTGAGATTGTCGAATTAACTGCCAGCTGTGTAAGAACATAAGAACGGCCGTACTGGGTCAGACCAAAGGTCCATCTAGCCTAGTAGCCTGTCCGCTGACAGTGGCCAGCACCAGGTGCCCCAGTGAGGGTGGACCAAAGACAATGATCAGCGATTTGTCTCCTGCCATTCTTCTCTAGCCTCTGACAAACAGAGGCCAGGGACACCACTTCTATCCCATGGCTAATAGCCTTTTATGGACCTAACGTCCATGAAATTATCTAGTTTCTCTTTAAACTCAGTTGTAGTCCTAGCTTTCACAGCCTCCTCTGGCAAGGAGTTCCACAGGTTGACTACACGCTGTGTGAAGAAGAACTTTCTTTTATTAGTTTTAAACCTGCTACTCATTAATTTCATTTGGTGTCCTCTAGATCTTCTATTATGGGAACTAATAAATAACTTTTCTTTATCTGCCCTGTCCACACCACTCATGATTTTATATACCTCTATCATATTCCCCCTCGGTCTCCTCTTTTCTAAACTGAAAAGTCCCAGTCACTTTAACCTCTCTTCATGTGGGACCCGTTCCAAACCCCTAATAATTTTAGTTGCCCTTTTCTGAACCCTTTCCAAGGCCAAAATATCTTTTTTGAGGTGAGGAGACCACATCTGTACACAGTATTCAAGATGTGGGCGTACACTAGTTTTATAAAGGGGCAGTAAGATATTCTGTGTCTTATTTTCTATCCCTTTTTTAATAATTCCTAGCATCCTGTAGATGCAGACTGTTATTTCAAAATAACGTTACTATGTAGACGTAGCCTTAGTGTGATATTGTGCATAAAGCTTTTTGAAATCCTGTTGTGGCAAAACAATGCTTTATTTTAATTTTTTTGTTTTCTAAAGATATCAGATGTGGATTAGTTTAGGTCATATTTTAAACCTAAGGGTTTTTGAAATTTAAAAATAAGCTCCTTTTTTTTGTATTTATATCACCACAAACTTCTAAATCTTTGATAATCTCACAGTTTCTTAAAAAAATTGTGACTTCTGTTGTAGCTGATATTTATGAATACAGTGAAAGATTACAAACATTGAATATGACTTTCTGTAACAATGGTTGGAGGCAATTTTGAATCCTGATCTGTCAAGTTGGTGCAACATGACTTCTACCTGTACTTCAACAGTCTTTCTCCATTTACTTGTCTAAACGATTTGTCTTCCAGTTGTAATATTTAGGATGCTTTTGCCCACTATTAAGATGATACTTCTAATACGTTTTGTGTGGGTCTTTCAGTAGTAAATGCTCATAGCACTGTATAAACTATGCAAATTAAAGAGTTTCAAATCTGAGTTCTATAGCAGTTAGTACCACAAACTGCTTTCTTTCCATAAACACAAAGCTGGGGACCATGCTGATTTGATTTGTAATTATTAAGGTTCTGTGATGCCAAAATAATTTGCTTCAAACTCTTAATAAATATTGTTTTTGGTGTTTTTAATCTTAGATGCAATGAACCTGTCTCTGAATTTGATAACTCAAGATTTGGAAGACACAGCTTTCCTAGTTTTCAAATCATTTCCTACCTTATCTGAAAATCAGAGTGAAAGCAGTATGGACTATGGTAACTTCTTCTTGCGACACTGTGTAACTATGAATAAGGTATACAGGATGTTATTATCTTATCAGACTTATAACTGTGTGGTTTGTGAACTTAAGGGAGTTATGAAAATGTGGAAATTGTAGTTTTGTTCGTGCACTTATAGTTAAAAAGTAAAAATGGAATGCATTAAGGTAATCACTTTAATATTTCACCTACCAATTTACACAGTAAGTGGAATGTTTATGAGCAAAAATGCTTGTTGGTGTCTGTAATACCTACTTTATGGATATAAGAAGGATCTTTTCTTTAGTTGATAGAAAGGAGTTTAGAAATTGAGAAGCATTATGTGTTCATTTCAATTAATTTCTATAATAATAAATTCTTAAAATTTCTTTTCAGCCGGTGAGCAAGCTGAAACAGTTCTGTGATGAGTTAAAAGAAGCCAATATTCATTCAGCTCCCCTTCAGTTTACTTTATATTGTGCATTGGAGTCTAAAAAAGCAGGTACTTATTTATTTGCTATTTGAAACATAAGTTTATTTAAACTGTTCTGTTGTTGTCTTTATTAATAGTCAATTGCCTTATGGGTATTTTCAGCTTTGGCAATTGACCTGATGAAGACAATGAAAGAGGAAGGTTTACCTCTCAGACCTCACTATTCCTGGCCACTGCTTGTTGGATACCAGAAGGAGAAGAATGCTCAAGGTTAGCTTTCTAATACATATTTCTGTTGCTATATTTATAACTAAATGTACAGATAGGATTTAAATGCCAATTTAGAAATTTGCTTGAAGGTGAGTGGAGGCCTGTGGGTGTGTAATTCTTGGCACCATAAACATTTGTACAATTATTTTAGAAGTTATTTTCACTCATTTAATTGTGGCACAGTCTTGTTAGTTTAAATAAAGAATTCCAGTTTTGAACAGACAGCAGAGCAACAAACATGCTTTGAGTGGGATTTTTAACTCTTTGGATTCCTGGTTACAAGAAGATTCTGTGCTGTTCTAAATCCCATACAGTAGTTCTCTGATCTTTTACACTTGGAGAGACTTATTGAAACCTATGGAAGTAGGAAGACCTTAAAAGTAAGGTTATATGCTAATGACTCACTATGACTACGGAAAAGCTGAATCTTTTCTTTTTGACCATTTAAAAAATTTCTATTCACTGATAAGTTAAATGTGCGCTAACTTACAATAATAAGAGGCAAGAAAACTTCCATTGCTGAATGAGTGATCATGACCTGACAGCATACTGATTGAACATTTCTGTCCTTCAATCTTTAGGATTCTTAAGTAGGCGTAAGCATTTAGCACACTTTCCCCTGTTACACATGGGGCTGACTATAGGACATGAATAAGAATTGAACAAATATTAAATTTTAGAGTACAGTATCTAATTCGTTGGTTTGCGTTATTGGTAATTCAGAAAGAGTGGTCTCATAAAAAGATGCTTTTAACAGAAGTACTTCCCCCTTGGGAAACAAAAAACTGTCTTTTTCATCTTATCTCACTGTATAATGTGCTTTAGAATGAGATGCAGAGTTGTTAGTGTGACATTGGGTGACAAACAAAATGCACAAACAAAAAAAAAAGTGCTTTTAGCAGACTGTTCATGTTGCAATTTTATTTTAAATATACAGTCACATTCCAGTTTGGAAGAAATGCTGAAACAAGTATTCCCTAATTGTTTTAGGCTATAAAAGTGTCTCAATCCTTTTTAGAAAAGCCTTTATGAAAACAATATTCAGTTTTTATTAACTCTTTAGCTCCATGCTGGTGCTAGAGTGCATGGCAAGTTATCCTCTGACACACTTTCTGAATACTGGAAAGTTTTTACAATCGCATACAAACTCTTGAAACATATTAAACAGGGTAGGGTTATTATAGGATTCTAGTCATTCCTGTTTAAAATTGTCACTCACATGTCTAGTTAATTTTGCGGTATTGCTTTACCAAAACTTGGCTCTACATACACAATAACAAAATATGCTAGAAGTCTGTTTATTCTGAAAGGCTCCTGCATGTTTCTAGAGCTGAAGGTAGTTGAACCTAATTGTTGTGAGAATAATAACTTTTAGTGATCTGCTAGGGACAGAGGTTGGCTTAATTCAGAACTGTAGAATCTTCAAAAGTCTGCAATACTTCTTATTGACTGTCAGTAAGAACTGATGGTAAGCATTCGTAATGAAGTCACACATTTTCTGCCCACAAAGGAATCAGAGTATACGTCTTGTTTATCCTATAGTAATACTGTGCATTCACAAAGCTATTTTGTGAACGCAGACAAGTGTAAAGATTCGTGTGTGTGTGTGTGTGTGTGTGTGCGTGTGTGTGTGTTTACTTAAAACAGAGACAGTATGTGATCAAACTCTCAACTCTTAATTAAACTTCAAATTAAAGGAAAATTTTTGAACACTCCCCTTTCTACACTGAATGATCAACATAAATATGTTTGGTGTAGATAGGTGGAATAAATGTTTTTGCCTCTTGCTGTGTGAAATCTTACCTGCATTCAGATTTTTTCAGGTGGAAGGAGTAAAAGAGATCTCCACCATTATATTTGTTTGTATGTATTTTTACATATGAGGAAAAATAATAAAGATGGATTTCATTTGTGATAGAAGAGAAAGTAATAGTGCTGAAAAGAATCTAAAGGTGATAGTGGACCAGTAAATTCACTGAGTTCTCAATGTTTCCAAGCAGCAAAAATTATAGGGATTTATCAAATAAAAGTGATCTAGACAGAGTATTACATCTCTTACCAGAGCAGAGATAATGGTTCCAGTTTTCACAATAGTTACATGTGGCATACCACACATGCTTCTGGGCCCTGTATTTCCATATCAGAAAATATTGACAAATTTAACAGAATGTAGATAAGAGGCAAAAAATATTGAGAGGCTGAAAGGATGGGTTTTGAGGGAGGTTGAATGTTCAATAACTTGAGCTGTATTATGACACCTACCATTATGTGAAGGATGTAAATGCCAAAGAGGGAAAGGAATTGTGTAGATTGGCCAAGAGGTTATAACTAATAGAAGGGAAATAGAAAATGAATATTGGGAAGAACTACTTATTGTGGACATTTATATGGATTATTCTTTTAAAGGAAGTGAGGGATGTCCCATTGCTTCAGTCACACAAAATTAGAGAGAACAAATGATTGAATATACTGTAGACAGCTGTCTGGATTACAAGAGCGAGTAGCAGATTGCTACAATTTCATTAAATGTGCTGTAACAAGTTAACCATGTTTTTATATTGTATACCGATGAAGCTAAAATCAAGTTTTAGGCTATTTTAGTATTTTCCTATAGTTAAGTAAATACACAGTTAGACTTTTTCAGGAAGCGTTCAGAAAAACCAAAAACATAGGAGTGTTGCAAATATGAAGAAGCATTGGCATACATTGGTTCAATTAGACTATACAGTCAAATATCTTTTTGGAAGTGGAGGGTGGCTTTGGTTCAGGTTTTGCTTACATTGCAACTTGGATAGCTGTGAGGTTTTGCTTAGCATTATTTAGCCACTTTCTTGAAACTTATTTTTAAAAAAAACACTTAGCTATGCTTTTTATAGAACTCGGCAGTACAGGTTGCACCTCTTATAAACTGAGATTTTCAGGTCTGGTTATTTCAGGATCAGAGAGTCCCGGTGTGGGGTGTGCGAGGGCTGGGAGCCTGGTTCAGTGCAGTGGGGAACAGGGGAAGAGTGTGGGAGCTCAGCACGTGGCCCAGGTAGGTTGGCTAGGAGCTGGGTAGCTGCTACACTGCTGTTGGGAGGGAGGGAGCTGGGAAGCCCAGTGTGCAGGAGAGGGCAGCAGGGGGGCCAGAAATGACTTCCCATGCTCTGGCAAATTCCCTCACTTGGGACCAGTCAGGCGCCAAGGTTGCTGGATCAGGGAGGTCCAACCTTTATTACATCAAAAATTATTTACAAAGTACAATTTGCAAGGTTCACTTTTTTAGAAGAGAATATTTTCAGTTTTCACATTGACCCAATATAAAAAGTTCAGTAAGTGAGCCAAATACAAGCTAATTTTTGATTTCCTTGAGTCATTACATCATTCCTTGAGTAATGGTGTTCCTTAGGAAAAGTATTTTAAAGTATTTGTCAGAATTGTATCATTACACATACTACTCCACTAGAAATATGAGAGTTCACCCTTTAAATTCAAATTTGACTGTGATTAGCAGTAGTATGCCATTCTCCTGAATAACTTCAAACTGAAAATTCAAACACTTTATAATTTGATATCGGAGTTAAATACATACTTAGATGCACTTTCAGCTTCCCTTACTCATGCAGAATTGTACCTAACCCATCAAGAAGTTTTTCATGAATTTTAGTGGGACTTCTTGAGGAATAAGGTACTGTTCATTGTAAGAATAAGTGGTAGAATCTGTCGCTCATTAGAAGAGCTGGTTTGAGACAGATTTGTCAAAGGGAACAGAATCTGTGGCTCTTTCCATTCTGTCCCTTTCCATCCTCTCAGGTAGTCCCTACTTAATTGCTCAATCATATGATTGCGGGAGAGAGCCAAAGCTGGAAACCAGGAGCTGAAAGACCCAGTGAGGTCAGGCACAAAAATGGATGGAGGGGACTTACTATTTGGCACAACTATGTAGGACCATGAAATAATTGTGTGTAGGGAGTATTTTTTTAAAGAGAAAAGGTGAGGGGATATTAAAAATGTGTTTGAGACATAAGTTTCACTGTTGCATAGTATCCACTTACAGCATAAAGATGTTTTTTCAGTGGGTGCTTTTTGCCATTTTAATGGCATTTTCAAGAGGGTTTGAGTTTTCCAAGGTCAGTTTGCAAAATTACAGGGGTAGAGCCTAGGGGCTGGCAGGAGCGTGCACTTGTATAATAGCATAAAGCAGCAAGTCCTAAAGTTAATGTAGAGCGTGCTTTTTTTAGTGTATAAAAACTGGTTCAGTTAATATTCTTCAGCGGATTGTCCATATGTTGTATAGTTTCCTGTTAAATATTATTTCTTAATAAAACATTATTTGCTTATTTATTGTGATTTTTCCCCACATACACCCTGCCTCCAGTAATTATAATTATTATATCTAAAGAGTGCTGGAATTTTTGTTTAATAACATTCATCGTCCTTCATTTGGGATAGTTAAAACCCTCCAGACTTCATGTTAAGAATGAGACTGGCCAGGATTAACTCTGACTTCTGTGCATTGTGAAGATTATAGATTTAAAGTATGTCTGAGGTCTATTTATGGGCCTGTCCTGAGGCAGGGGAGTGGAATGGGTTAGCATGCTTTTGGGCATGTCAAAATAATTAACAGAAATATCGATAACTAGCTATATTTCAATTAATTTGTACTCTTGCATTTGTATTAAATAAAACATATACATTTAAACTTGTTATTTAAAATATTAATGTTAAATGAGAATATGAAGTTATTTTAAATAATGAAACAAGATTTAAAATGTCAACTGAATATTTTTTTATTAAAAACCCATACTATTCATTATGAGAGTTTCAAGAAACCTTTTTCTTCAAATATTTATACAGGTGCATAACAATGTGCATGTGAGTAGTCTTGTCGACTTTGCTGGGAGCTACTCACATGCTTAAGTTAAACGAGTGTATACATTTTTCAGGATTTGGCTTTGGATTATTTTTTTTAAAAAAATCTTTGTCTGTTCACTTTATAGGCTTCCTGACTTGCATTTTTCTCAGCTTGGGAAAATAAAACTAGCCAGCCCATTTTTTACTTTTATTTATGGTAAATGTCTAGTAATTCATTTTTACATTCTCATGACTGTCAGAGGAATTTTAGATAGTAAAGGGACATACTTTTAAGAAAAGGATGTGGAATTTTGCAAAATCAAGACATTTTTTTAACTAGGTTCTTAAATAAAACCTACATTTTGGACAAAATTTGACACAATAGCATCCCATTAAATGTTTTTCCATGGTCTCTTAACAAAAGTTATCAGTTTAAGAAACACAGAATTTAAGACCACAATGATTTCTTACTTAAAAATATTCCTTACATGTGATGTACAAAATACTGATATACAAGCTTCTTTATGAAGAACATGTTCACTGTAAAAGACTTTTGGGAGAACACAATAAAATGCCTTTAGCTATCTGAAGGGGGGAGAGGGAGTTCAGTGGTGACAGATGATAGAATGAGGAGCAATGGTCTCAAATTGCAGGGGGAGAGATCTAGGTTGGATATTAGGGAAAAAATTATTTCACTAGGAGGGTGGTGAACCACTGGAATGGGTATGTAGAGAGGAGGTGGAGTCTCCATCCCTAGAGGTTTTTAAGTCCTGGCCTGAAAAATCCCTGACTGGGATAATTTAGTTGGCATTAATTATCTGTTGTGTTCACTTCTTCTGGAGTGAACATTGGCCACTGTCAGCAGACAGGATATTGGGCTTGAAGGACCTTTGGTCTGACCAGTATGGCCGTTCTTATTGATCCTACTTTGGGAGGGGATTGGACTCAATGATCTCCTGAGATTTCTTCCATTCTTATGATTCTACGGCTTACTTTTTGTTAGCCAGTTTCCATCATACTAAACATGTATGATTGAATTCAGCGTGTCTTGACTCTTTTGCCTGTATGCCTATTGTTTAGGTTTGAGAAGGAAAAGGCTGAACATGATGTCCAAAGTAATTCCAAAGGCAGCCATAAAATGCAGATATGCTGGTCTTAATGTATTTTCTTTTGATTTACGCAGTATTACGTGAGATTACAGGTTCTTGTAACTTCATGTTGAGAAAACATTAATATACTAATAAAGCAGTTGGGTGTCATGGAACAAGACTTACCGAGATGTAAAACTTTTACTTTGTGATGGTTTTCTGGCTTTTGCTATGCAAATATTGATTCGACTGATATGTTTTAAAGAAAACCAAATGACCATGAATAACCTTCCTTTATTTTCAGAAATGGGGAAGATGAGGCATATTTTGGATTTTTTTGAGACCTGGAAGGGGAACTTGGGGGAGCTTCATGTTAATACCATTTGTAGCAACCATAAGTCATAGAGCAGTGGGCACTGTGGAAGGTTTTTGATGCTTTTCTGGCAGTTAACTTTATTCTTGATCTGCAATTCCCTATTGTAGTTGTCAAACTCAGTGGTGGTTTTGTGACAGACGTCTATTAGGGATTTGGGAGGGCCTAATAAACTAATTTTCCACTCTGTCTTAAGAATTTGAATCCAATTCTCCTGCAACTAGAGTACCTAATTGACTGTGACATGTAGAACCCTGTTGAAAACAGCTATTTCTTGCAATACTTACTTAAATTCTTACAGTGGAACAATCTTTTTATAAAGATTTGGCGGTGCTCTTAATACATTTTCTGCATCTTGCAAACAAAAGGGAAAGTTGCTGTCAAGATCTGAAAGGTATCAAGCAAGAGTTACTGTAATTAATTCTTTTTTTCATAATTTTGCAGATTCTCAGCCAAAATCAGGCAGAGTTTTGTTTAAGGCAAACTTGAACAGATGATGTGACTTTAATTTAGTGTGACTTGCCTGCATGTATTTTTAAGTGCTCAAAGGGAATTCACATCTGATTATTTGCACCATAGTGCACTGCATAAAATATTCATGGAAGTGTCACTTTTCCATAGGTGGCACTCCAGGGCAAAGACAGGGACTTGGAAACTTTACATTCTTTAAAGTAACAAATATGAGAGGCAAACTGGAAAAAAAAAACATATGCTGCTTGGAACTGGTGTCCTGCAGCATCTGACAAGTCATTTTTTGTCAGTAAAAATTTCAATACCTGTATAGCTTGTGACATGAATGCAGAGTTAGCTAACTAGGCCTGATGCAATGAAACTCAGGAAGTTCTTGCACATTTTAAAGAAAAGGCATTAAAGCACTAAGATGCCTTCTAGAATAAATGTTGAATATGGTAAAGATTTAAAAATTCAGTTACTGTTAATGTTTGTACAATATCAGCAGTATTTCTTTTTCTTTAGGATAAAAAATAGAAAAATGTATGTATTTGTGTAATAGCAGTCTGGTTAATTTTAAATAAAATGTTCATTGTAGTTCTTAAAATATACCTTTTTTTCGATATTTACTTGTGTTGGTTTCATTGCTGTATTTTTCAAATAGATGTCCATGCTGAAAATTGAGGACTTGATCTTGTGAGGTGCCCAGAGCCTCATGCAAGTGCACAGCAATTTCAGCAGGCGTTGAGGGAACTTGGCACCTTGCAGAATTGGGCCCATTTTTCATGTATAAACTAGGCAAACTCTCTAGGATACCCAAGCACACAATTTGCATGTGTGAATATTTATTTAATCTTATGCAAAGTGTCGTGGGGTTCGATTTATTTTAGATCCAAAGGAAACCAGGACACTTCAGGGAAACTTAACCATGTTCCTATTTATTGCAAGCTTTAAGCAGTTAATATGGTTAAGTTTTCCAAGCCTTAAAAACAATTACTATACAATTTAAACCTTAAATAGTATAAATTCTAAAGCAATTAATAGAAGATCTTCTATAATACAATAATAAAGCCTAGTTCACTTATGTAAACCCATAGGGATACAGATTCCAGTAACTAGGGATACTTAATTAATGTTGCTAAATTACTGCTATTATAAAGTGATGCATTATAAATCCTATGTGGAGCAAAGTAGATAGGAGTTACAGGGCTTATGGCATGCTTACGTCCCTTCTACTGCGGGAAGTTCTGTCCCCGTTGTCTTAACTTCAGGGGCTGCAGTGTACGTGGTTTCAGATGGGGGAGGTCCAGGCACCCCGGGGTCTGGGTCCCTGGTGAGACTTCATGTGCACAGGACCCACCAATGCCTTCGTACCCCAGCTGTTTATTGGGTGAGCACGTACCATTCTTATCACTCTTATGAGCTGAGACCTAGGTCAAATTTGTTTACCACTTAGGAGTTTTCAAGCTCAAGTGCATGGATTAAAGCTGATAAGGGCCAGCTGGTGTTTCAGGTTCCAGGGCTGAAATATAGGGCTGGGAATTTCCACCCTCAGCTCTCGGACCTGAGGGCCCACTTACAGCTTACACTACACATGGTTAGATACCTGTCTTTAAATCCTGGACTTAAGCAGTAGAGCTGGGGCAAGGACCCAAGCAAGTTTGTTTCTTAATACACATTGACCACTCATGTCTTGAAGCTAGCTATATTCATTTATTTGTGCTGTTGAAAATAGTTGCCATATTCAGTACATCTGATATATGGGCACTTTCGATATATGGTTTTAAAATATTGGTAATGAAGTAAGAATAATTAATTGAGCCCCAGTTCTGGGCTGGCATCTCCTCTCTAGGTATTGATGCTAAATCCCAGCGAAACCGCTTAGCTTTACCAACCCAAAAATATGCTTTTCCTAACAACACAGATGCAGGGTGAACTAAGAATTTTGTTTCACAGTAAATTATGACTGAAGATAGGTGTAAACATGGTTTATCTATTTTTGATTTCAGAATTAAAAACTTAGTTTTTTTTACCTTCAATAATTAAAACATAGGAACTAAAGATGGAGACAGAAGTCCCAATTAAGTGGGGAGGTTCATGTTTATATCTTTCATAAAAAGAACTGAGCTTTTAGTTGTCTGAAATTGTTCAGCATTCTGTACACTTTTTAATCTTCTGCAGGTACTATTGCGATCCTTAAAGCGATGCATGAGCTGGGGGTGGAACCTGATGTGGAAACATACACAAACTATGTTTTGACAAATTTTGATAATGTTCAGACTCTTCGTGCTCTGCTACAGGTGAGTTTAAATGCTTTGTGTGTAGGAATCTCACTGACTCCAGTTATGTTCTGCGTCAGGCGGTTGTCAGACACAGGCCCCTCCCCTTAATTTTTAATGGGTTATTTTTTATTTTTTTTAAACTTCTTATTCATTGTTTGCCGACCTTTTACCCTCCCCCTTCACTGAGTGGAATCTTAAAATCTCCATACGTGTGATGTTTCTCACTAATGCATTTTTCCGTTTCTGAAAATAAAAGATTTTACGTATTATCATGTGATTAATTCAGTAGCCTTATTGTAGTATTTTCCAGCTATGCAGAAACCTAAAGTTCTAGGACTTTCCCCAGTAATTTTTTCCTCCTTGTGGTGCATTCTCAGCCTTTATAGACTAATTTTACCTTGTAGTCAAGAGTGGCTCCTTTGGCCAGTTAATTAGTAGCACCAGTGGGCTTTTGAATTGCTTGTCATTTCTTCTCTATGAGAAGAAGAATGGTGTCTACCATTTTGGGTGCCAAAGTACTTGTAGAAAGGGGATGTTGTTCAATGGAAACATGGGAAGGGCAGTGATTAAAAATAGTGTTGAGTATTAGGATTGTGTATGTGTGGTATAATGCTTTGTATCCATAGGAAAGTGGATGTCCATTTGAAACTGAAGGACTCTCTGTAGCAGAATTAAGATATGAAGCAATATATGGAACATTGGAAAATATTTTATCGTTATGTAAGTATCTTCGGTATATTTAGTAGAGGTCTTTTTAACAAATGCAGATATGGAGTGCTTAGGTTGATGAGTTTGTAAATATTCAGACATGCCTTTTAAGGGTGATTTAGATAGTGGTTAGAGTTATTGGGAAGTTTTTACCATATGGAGGTATTGTGGCATTTGTAAAGGATTTCAAGAATATCTTCTGAAGCTGCCAGTTTTTGGTATTTTTTTTGTTTGTAATAAGCTTCTTTTTAAATGTGAATATGCCTCATGGGCTTTGCATACATGTTTTTTCTTTTTAATATTTCATTTAAGAAAAAATAAAAATGTAGTACAGAAATGAATTGGCATTTAGGTTAATGTTAGGGCCTCTATCACTCTATTGGTGAATAGGAGCTGCAAAGTAGTCTACTGAATGGATAAGCAGGCTCCAGGTTTACAGCAGTGCATGTTAAGTTTTTTAAGGAATTGATTAGTCAAAAGACCTTCCATTACTCATAGATGCTAATCGGTCGCACGCACAAACACACTAAAATTAAAATCAGATCAGTGGGGTTATGCTTGTTGACCTTAAATCTTTGCAGGATTGAGACCCAAATAGTTTTGTTTGTCTGCCTAGAATACTACCGTATATTCCGGCGTACAAGACGACCCCCGATTTTTGGGGGATGTTTTTTAACTTCATATTCCATTACTCATAGATGCTAATCGGTCGCACGCACAAACACACTAAAATTAAAATCAGATCAGTGGGGTTATGCTTGTTGACCTTAAATCTTTGCAGGATTGAGACCCAAATAGTTTTGTTTGTCTGCCTAGAATACTACCGTATATTCCGGCGTACAAGACGACCCCCGATTTTTGGGGGATGTTTTTTAACTTCATAGGTCGTCTTGTACGCCGGATGCCCCGCCGCCAGAGCCCCTCCGCGGCTTTGAAAGCCTCGGGGGAAGCCGGCGGCGGGGCATCCCAGGCGCACATGGGCTGCCCCCCCGCCGGAGCCCCTCCGCGGCTTTGAAAGCCTCGGGGGAAGCCGGCGGGGGGGGGGCGGCGGCCGCCCCCGCGCGC